GAGGATCCAACGTTCAATGTAATCTTCGCGGACACTACGTAAAGTACGTCCCTTTTGTAGGGAAGCTACGCACATACCCTGTCCTATTGCCATTGTCCACAACGTATTTATGCGTTCTGCTTGAATGGGCGTGAAAAAAAAAAAAAAATAAACCTCACCCCTCCCATCCTCCCAACCCCCAAGAAAACAAAGTAGAAGCTGCTGAAAGCTGACTATATCGTTTATTGTATCGTACGTCTCGGTTATATAGCCTATTGTTGTTATATCGTACCTTTTTTTAATTTATCATTGGTAAAGAAAAATTGTTGCTTGATAAATTTTAATGATAATATTGACTTCATTGTTTTATCTCAATACTTACAATAATAATGATGAAATGAATTATTTTGTTCTGTTATAAGAAGTATAACCTTGTCTCGGATTTCCATAGATCGATCGTATACCAAGTAATCGACGAATGTAAAATTATTCTGTAAAAGATATAAAATTAAATAAATTGTAAAACATATTATGGATTTTCTGTAAAATAAAGTAAGAGTATAGTGGTAGATATTAAAAATCGAGAAGTCCGCCATTAACAAATTATCTTTTTCTTTTTCACGTATTATTATAATAGTTAATTAATATTCTATGTTAAAAGTATACTCATTCTCTCGAGCAATGTCGAATTAACTCTTTAATAAATATTTGAAAAAAATGTAACATGTTAAATGGTTGTTAAATTTCTTTTTTTAAAACAACGCGATCGATCGACACATAATCGTTGCATCCCGCTTAAAAATAATGACTACAAGTTACCGCTACGTGGCGCCACTTTGCAACGATGCTAGAGTCAAATATCTAATATATATTATTTTATATATTCCTTGTGAAAAGAAAAAGAAAAAGAAAAAAATGTAAACGTAAAAAATAATTAATGATAAAATTTTACAGGRAACTTGGACATGAAAAGAAGTAGAACTTAGTTTGATTGAGTTGGACGTTTCGTCCCTTTATTGGGACTTCTTAAAGTTTTGTTGAGGCTTTTAAATAATAACGATCAAACTAACGAAGTTTAGATGTATTGTGTTTTGGAATATTATAAAAAGAAATGTATGTCGAAATAAATAAAAAAGACGCTGAGCTTTAATGATTAAGTTGCTGAAGAAGTCCCAATAAAGGGACGAAACGTCCAACTCAATCAAACTAAGTTCTACTTCTTTTCATGTCCAAGTTCCCTGTAAAATTTTATCATTAAAAATTGTAATTTTGGACGAGAGAAATACTAAGTAAGAAATTATCTTTCTCAAAAATGCAATATAATTTAATAAACTAATATTTAAATACGAAGTACGAGGTGAATAAACGATCGTAAAAAATTCGAGACACAGGGTACATATGAATCTTCGCATATGAACGTGTCTAATGCAGTGGAATTACAAATGAATAATCTCTGTATTAACAAAAAAACAAAGGAAGAAAGAAACAAGAAATAAAATGAAAAAAGAAAAAAGAAACGATAACGATTGTGCATGACAACGGTAAAACAAATCTCTGACACGCGTAGCACAGGCCCATAACTTTTCGGTTCGTCCAAATTTTTCGTTAGTTTGGCATCCACCAAAAATAAAAGAAAATAAATTCGGAGCAACAAAATTTCCTTATTAAAAGCAACATATAAAAAGATATCTATATATATATAGAGAGAGAGAGAAAATTTAGAAGAGATGGGTCAAGTAATGGGTGAAATGCCGTCCACGTTGGAAGGTTTGAAGGAAGAACGCGATCGCGTACTTCATTGGAGTGGTGAAATCCTCGCTAAAGTAAGTGATAACATCCAAAACGAAGATACCTTTTTAATGGATTACACCGACGAAAAAGTTGATGCGAAAGTAAAAGCATGGTTCGATGCTAACATGGGAAGAATTAACGAAACTTGGTCAAAGATACCAAACATTACTGAAGATTGCAAACGTGGCATCTTAGATAAAATTGAAAAGGTAATTCTAATTATTAATAAGAAAAAAGAAATTTTCAATTTATTTAATCGTTCTTATAAATTAATTCGTATCAATGATTATAAACATGAAATCTAGCTAAAACTGGAATTTGCATCTAAAGTAAGAAAAGAATATGAATCAGCTTATGCCGATATAAAAAAATTTACGAAAAAAGTTGACAAATTCGGCGCCGAGGAAAGAAAAATTCACGAATCCATACAGAGCGTAGAAAACGAGAGTGCGGGCGATATTGGTAAATTTCAAAAAAAGTTTGGCCCACTGAGAGTGAAGGTATTTAAAAATTTGGAGATAGGAGAAAAATTTATGTTCGAAGATAAACGTTTGAAAGATAGTTTTACGAAAAAGGTAACAAAACAAAACAAAAAATTCGTAAACGTATTAGCACTGCTGTATTATTCATTTATACGTAAAAACTTTCTAACATCTTGTAACGAATTATATTAGGTTCACGAAATAGATACGAAATTGAAGGCGGATTGTGCGAAAAAATTTGACAAATTCATTAAGGAAGCTGAAAAATGTGTCCCGAAATAAAATAACGAAAATAAAAAGAAAAGGCAAGTTTTATATAACGAGGAAATAAAAAGAATTTGATCAAAAATCTAATTCACATAAAAATGTTCGATAAATCAATTAAACGCTATCATAAAATGTTAATACAGGTGTAGGACAATTTATTTGTTGAATAAGATGTCGACTCTGTCGGCAAGTTAGCACGTCGTCGATAAACTTAAATACATCGATTAATCGAACGAACTCTGAGAAAGAAAGGTGTAGGGGTAGGGAAGTTGTTTAATAATAATAAGTTCTACTTTCAATTCTAACGTTAAAAGAAAACAAATAAATTAATAAATAAATACTAGAAAAACTAAACGTAAAAGAGTAAATACGAAAGTGATCAATAAACGAAATTTAAAAAAAAACCGTTTTAAAGAAATATTTATAAAATAAAACTTCGCGAAAAATAACGATGAACGTTGTGGGTGGTACGACAACAAATGTGTGTGCGAGTAAGAAAGAGAAAAAGAAAAAGAAAGAAAGAAAGAAATAGAAATATAATATAATGGTATAAAAGAGAGGGGGGGGGGAAAAGAGAAATAAGGAGAACAGCAACGTAGAGCGAAAAGAGCGGGAGTACGTTTATTTAAAAAAAAAAACAAAACATTATTCCTTCGGGAAAAGTTAATCCTTCGAGTAAAACTTTCTTCTCCTATTGGATAATAAAACCTCCTAATGGAATGTTATAGTTCTTTAACGAGGTACGTAGAAGAAGACATAAGTATAAAACATATGTAATAAATTGGTTGGCTAATGACGACGACAACTATGACGAGGAGGAGGAGGAGGAGGAGGAAGTTCAACCTTCGATGCGCGTGGCACGTTTCGATGTGACGTAGAAGAACAGCAACGTGGAACGAGATCGTGGTAGAGGGGAAGGGAGAGTGGGAGAGAGAAGGGAGAGACAAACGTAAGACGATGATGCTCCGTCGAGTCACCGACGTCGTTGGGGTAGGCTCTCCCGGAGACTCCCGTTATCGGGAGAACAGAAATATCTAAGGTGCGAACGAATACCATGCGTCGGATGCGCACGCATCGTGTCTTTCAGGAACGAATAAATCGGGTGTTCCATAGAAATTCTATCGCATGATTGTCTATAAAATAAATCGTTATTAGATACATTTTCCCCATCTCGAAAATATCGATGATTGTAATAGAATCGATCAACGAATATCAATCGAATCGATAACGTATGATAGATGTAAACTATATTAGAACAAAATTTCATTAACTTAACTTTTCGTTAGATAAATTTCTATGTGAAACTATTACGAATAACAATCTTCTTACGGCCCTGTCGCGAGTGAGCGGAAAACTTTTTCTTCCCACGGCGTCATTGAATTTTCTAATAGTATATCTACCCATATAATCGTTCGCGTAGAGAAAATGTGTCCTCGTCTATCTACGGATTTTCCTCTATCCTGCCTACGTGGAAAAAAGCCTCCTCTCGTGGTACGGAGGTAGCGTCGTCGTCAAAACGTCGTCGTCAACGTCGTCGTAACTAAAAACCACGACGCCGCAGCAACATCGGCGGTCGCATAAAGCCCGCTCTTATCCGGATCGCATAAAAGTCTAAGAGTCGCGAATGAACACACCAGTTCGTTCCCCATTTTGTTGTCCCTCTAACCCCTGTCCCCTTCCCCACCCGTCTCCTCAAGCCTTCCAATATCATCCGCCCATTCCCCAGACATCACCGCCCTTTTTTTTCATGCGGTTCGATAAATTCGCCCGCGTAAATTCAAAAAATGAATTAACAAGAGAGAAGGAGAAATATATAAACTGGATTTCTACCTTATCGACTCTGCTTTTCTTTTTTTGTTTTTTTTTTTTTTTATCACACAAGGACTCAACGATATCTTCTTCGTACCTTCTCCGATCTCGTGTTAGCCGCGTGCTCCTTACAAACTCACGTTAAACTTTCTCGGTATAGAAGAGTTGAGATATTCTGAAAATATAGATACATATTTATTTTTATTAATTTTTTACTTTTCTTTTTTATTTCAGAATTATTTCAAACGATTACGACGTCGAAACAATAGTAATGTTATTTTACGTACTAACGAGTAGATAATCGATTTATTTATATATATTTCGTTTTCGATTTTTATATTAAATGTACAATAATTTATATATACTTTTTTTAACACAATCAAATGATTATACATTAATTTTATATATCTCATTTATCGAGTAAATTTATTTTTTAGAAAATTGATTCCACATGTTGAAAATAAAGAGTACGTCTTCCACAACCTTCCGTAGCCGTGATCGTCTAGTGGTTAGGACCCTACGTTGTGGCCGTAGTAACCCAGGTTCGAATCCTGGTCACGGCAATGTGTAAAACATTGTCACGGTGGAAGGTCTTTTTTTTTTTTTATTTTTTTTTTGTCTTATTGATTTTCTTTCCTCGAATTATTTAATAATATCATATAATTTTTAACATATATAAATGTTTATAATTATATAAATATTTAAAACTAAAAGATATGATCGCGCATAGTTTGAAACAATGTTAAAAACATATGAAATACTTATTGAGCAATTATTAAAAAATAAACAATGAATATATTTGGCGAAAGCAAAAGTATCATTTTCTTGCAAAATGTACAGAATATTTATTCTTTATAAAGTATGCCACATGACAAAAGAAATGCCACGATGTAAACTCTAAAAAGAAATTTGCAATCAGCAATTTTTTATTGAAATCAGGAGCTTTAAATTAACAGCATGTTTTTAAATGATGTCAGTATATTAATGAATATTGAAAGTGCGACGAGGAAATCAAGTATTTAAAAATATTAAATTTATCATGATTGGGTTGATTGAATTGTTAACGATTACTTCTGCATTACGAGTAATTGGTTTGTAAAATCCAATGTATAACAATTTATAATAACTCGTTAAAAATATAATATTAATGTGATTTAAAAATTAGTCGCAGAAGAATTATCCAGAATAGACGACGTCCAAGCTTGCACAGAATTTTGTTTTACTTATGGTAACATAGGAAACTTTAAAGATGGAAATTGTGTGTGCGAAAATTTGGATAATACAGGTATTACATTTACTTTCAAAAATAATACTTTTCAAACTTCTACTCTGTCAAATATTTTATTATAGATGCAAAAAATGCAATCCGTGGAAATAGAGAAACAGAATGCGTTGATCCAACTTCAGATTCCAATGAACTTACTAATGAAGACCGAGCAATTCGCTGCGCGTTAAGATCAAGGAAACAAATGAGACATCGTAAGATCAAACTTATTAGTGATGCATATAAATAATAAATTAGGAATTAATAATGCAATTTTTCTAATTATTTTTATATAATGTAACAGATGATGCTGATCGTGTAGTCACATACTTTGTTAATGGTGGACCAGCAAATGGCCATGCGTATTTTGTTCAAGCAGCTAATCAAAATATGAATCTGGAAAAAGAATGTAATAGTGACAAATATCCATCGACAAATTCATATCTTAATTTAGATGAATCTAACAATCAAACTCCCGATGAGCAGCCATCGACAACAAATATTCAGACAAAGCGGAGCTACAGGAATGATGTTCCATATAATCAATACAATCCTGTATATTTCCTACCAAACAAGATGCCTATTGCACCTGTCGTAACGAGTCCATATGGATATGTTATGGCTACTCCATATAATACTGTAATAGAACCAAAAAATAATATGTTAAGATATCGTGCATCTTCGCGAAATAATTTGGTAAATGGAAAATTATCGCCAAGAACTCGATCGCGTACAAATATTCTAAGACGTGTCTCCGATGCGTTACATGAAGTAGTTCAAGAGCCTGTAAACGATAATTTATTAGGTAGTTTTCTCAACAATCTTATATATCAAGATCGTGCTGAATATTCTTCTAATTATAATAATAACAAAAATGTTGTTAATGGAAATAATATTGTAAGTATAATATATACATTTTATATAAACATATAATCACTAAATTCAATTACTAATACAGTGCACAAATTATTTTAGGAAAATGAGACTAAACAAGTCAATTCTATTGTTGGTTCTACCAGCAAAGACGATAAAACACCTATAACAAATTCAGTAAGTAAAGAGTATAGTTTTTTCTTCCTTAATAATATATGGAGATAATTAAATAATATTTTCAGAAAACTGCTTTACAAGAAAATATTCAAAGAACAAGTACATCTCCTACAAATTTCCAAAATATTCCATATAATGAACAATGGCCAATTTATGCTTCGCAATATTTGATCGGATCACCAATGAATGGTTTCTATGATACCATGCCTAGAGCTTTTATTCTTCAACCTGTAAATATAATACCGCAAGGAATGCATTCTATGGCACAATCAGAAGTAATTAACTCATCGCAACCACAGGAGTCTGAAAACTGTGACAATAATAATTTGATGAATACCGATGAATCTATCAGTACTTCCAACTGTTCAATTAAAAGTCCAGATTCTAATGTTGCAACTATAGAAAATACAAAATATTCTTCTATCACAAAATAGCTACTTTCTAACGGAGAATAATTTCATGATAAGTAAGATAAGATAAATAATAAATTTACAAAAAAATGTATATGTAAAATCAATACGCAATACTATTATCGAGCAGTTTTCTGAAACTTCGTACATTAAAATCTTCATAGAACAAGATACATACTCTTACGTAGGATACTATTTATAAGTGTAGAATATAAATTCGATCAATGTTATAACGTAAGGTATATTATATTTGAATTTTCTCTTATATATGCTGTATAGTAGACCGTTACAAAATATTTTATTAAATAAATAAAAAAAATATTTATCAATACGTAGAGCAATATCTTCTCATATTTTTATTATCTCCTCCCTTTACCCTTTCCTTTTTTAGATGAAGAGGCAGATGATTGAGAAGATTGGTCTCCGTAAGCTTGTTTTCCTTGACGAGTCTTTAACTTTGGTATCGTAGTACCCAGATGTAGCAGAAGGGAATCTCTAGTAGGAAAGTCAGACCTGACCGGTGTTCCATCATCCTGTTTCAATTGTACACGTACACGTCCATAATATGACATTTCTTTACTGCGTTCACGTGGATGTAATTTATTTTCCAAACGAGCATTAAACCCAGTCGCTACAAGTACGTCAAGAATTTCATGTGCGGTAGGATTTTCAACACATTTCTCCTTGGTTAATTTCCTACCAGCAGCCAAAGTTTTCTTACTATTTAAATATACCGGATAAATGCAAACCCACCTACGAAAAAGATTATTAAAAATATCATATCATCGTTGTAAAAGAGAAAAAGTATAAAAGAGGTTAGGAAACAGATGGAATCGGTCTGACGCGTGTCCTGAATACAAAAATTAACGTGCATATATATTCTAATACGTCTATTAAGAAAATTAAACGAAAAAATCATTCACATTTGTATTAATAAATAGCTAACCTTGCAAATTCGCTATGTTTCTTTGACGGACTCCACACTTGCGCCATGATGTTTTATCAACAAACTGGTATGACATATACACTATCGAACTCGATAAGTTGCGATGTCATTATTGCGATTAATCGCATTTTTAAAATTATTCACTATTAATATCGTTTCTCTTCGGTATATTCGAGAGATTAACAATATATATTCAAAGCATTAATTAGAAAAAAAAAATGGAACTTGGGCTCGTCCGGGATTTGAACCCGGGACCTCTCGCACCCGAAGCGAGAATCATACCCCTAGACCAACGAGCCACGCTTACGATACGAAGATTAAATGCAACAAATACTCATAAACTCAATACTGTAAGTAAGCTATTCAATATTGTAATAATACAATACAAAAAAAATAGTGAAATCTATTCTTCGGTAGCATGTGCTATTCTAATAATTATTTTAACTCTTTTGAAGTAAATTTTACTTATCTATGCAAAGATTGGAAAAAAAGGAAAATAAAATGATACTTTTCAACAACAACAACGCAACAACTACCAACGAGTCACGTAACAGGTTGGAACAATTCAAGGCCATTTCTAAAAAATGGAGTACTATTGAGCATAAGTACTTTCATAAAATATAACGCAATTTCTTTTTCTATTTTAATCCCAACATCTCGGCATTTTGAAATTTTTCAATTATCATAAAAAGCTTCAATTATATCATCGATTATTTTTCACGATAAGTAAGATTCGTCATTTGGCAATAAAAGATAAGCGCGTGCGTTATCTCACGTATATAATTCTTCAGTTAAATCATAGTCTGTTTAGATTGTAGTAAAAAGTAAAGACTACGAGATGACCCAGTTTGAGAGTTTTCGAAATTACGTATTTACTTCTACGTGTTTCTTTTATAATAAAGAATATACTTTTGAGAAAAATCGTACTAAATTATTATACCTATAACACGTGAATACTTACTTTTAAGTTAAAATAAAATTGTCCGATTAAGAAACCAAGTTCTTGTTATTATCATCATTTTTCCTTCTATCTATTTATATAAATTTATATTTAGATTTGTACGGACAGTGCTGAACAAAATTATTATGACAGATTACATTTTTGTATAATATTCTTTATAATACTATAAAAAATATGATTTCTAATATAATTTTTTGTCAAAACATACTTCCTAAAAGTCTAAAGTTTAAGTATATTTTAAGAGTCAAGAAGATTAGATAGGTGTACGGAAAAAAGAAAAATATTTTATAATTGTAAATAGTTATTATCTAAAAACGATCCATTACGCGTTTTTCATTATAAATTTTGTTGTTGTTGTTCAACAACAAACTTTTATCAAACTTTAGATACGAGAAATATAATTAAAAACAAGCAACAATTATATATATAAAAAAAAAACATCGTACTTCTTACAAATTTTCAGATGAATATTATAGGAAAATTTATTAAGCGTCAATATACTTTTGTACTATACTGTACAAACGTAAATAGTATAGGAGGATAATAAAATGTTGTTTCCAAACAATCATTAGAATTTTTCCGTTTCTCATATAATGTAAGTAGATATCTGCATATATACATGGATATATGTATATTTAATTAAATACATATTATAAAGATATTTGTTATGAAAAGTCAACAAGTTGGATGTTCATGTGTTTTTTTTTTTTTACTTAATTAATCAATTGATAATTATTCGAAAGTCATTGCCAAGTCATATCTAATTAATATTGCACAAGTCACCTTCCATTAAAATAATACAAACTCGCGCAATAAAAGTTTTCCTCTTGCGTTCGAATCTTGTTTTTTTTTGTTTCTTTCTTACAAATACAAATATAAATTATGTTCTCCTTTTCTTTTTCCATCGCGTAAAATTATTCCCTAAAACGTTGCATTATATATTGCATATTTAATGATTACACGAAATAACGGGATTAATTCCTCGAAGAAGCATATCGTTCATGGTGTTTTCTATTATTTCTAAATTTTAATAATAAAAATACAATTAACGTTTGTGATGTTTCTTGTCGTTGACGTGTATTCGAATAATATATTATTGTTTGTTTTTCTTCGAAATTTAATTTTTAAAATCGATTTGAAACGGCACATCGTTACGCTTGGCAAACACAAGTATTCGTTCTCTCCAACGTTTTCATATGGCACAGTCACGTTCGCGATTTCCTCGCGATCGGAAGAGTTCTTGATTTCTCTCTACTAACGAAAGTGACGTTTTGTTTGCGTCTGTTTAATTCATTTCTTTTTTTATTCCAATCTCATTTTATCCCGACATTATAAATCAAAAGACTCCCAAAAAAAGAATCACAGATTACATTTCACACAACTTTTTTTTTTTTTTTATATGTATATAAGAGAATCGTATAATTAATTCCATCAATTATGGGTAGTACAAATACGAAGGAGTTTCAAAATTATCCACGAAACAACAGAATGTAAGTCGAATTTTTTTTATATATATATATACATATTATATATATTATTTAATTTTAATTATTTCCATCAGAATTTTTATCATTTAGGAAAGCAATAATTTTTACGATCTAACACTAAAAAAATCTAATGACAAGTATAATAGAATAAGTTTATCTAACGATCGTCCTTGATTTTCAACACGACGTTGAGTGGTCTAGCATTCGTATTAGATTACTCTTGTCTAACATCATCAATCGTTTATATAAGTTTATAAAACATATACATATTGATTTTGCTTTATTTTGAAAAAAAGATTAATCCATCCATGCAATTATCTTGATATCCTAAAATGCAAAATCATTATTCTTAAATATATATATAATAAGTAATCTCTAATGTCAGGAAAGATTTTAATCTAGTTCAAGGTTTATTCGAATAATTAGTTAGATAATTGAAGACAAATGTTCTCAGTATTACGATTGATGGACCCAGTCATAATAAAGATAAATTTTTCCTTCTATCGTACTTTGTATTATTCTATCAATTCTAATGTAATATCGTTGTTTTTTTGTTCAAAAAATGTTTTCTTTTATGTTGTTAATCACTTGTTTTGTCTGAATCGTAATAAGTATAATAAAAATAACAAATAAAAGGAAATTATTTTTTGTTTTGAAAAAATACTCTCTCGTATTATTTATTTCACGGTTTTTCGTTTCGACAACATCGATAAAAGACCGTTGATATTTAAAGTAATATTGCATGACGTGTATTAAAACGATTTAACAATTTTAAAATAAATTCTATATAAACTTGTCCTTTCCAATTCGATAGAATTAGTTCAAAGATTAACGTTACTAGCCTTTCAAATATGAAAGTAACGCGTATTCGCGTGTAAACATTTTTAACATCGAATTAAATCATATTCTTTGTTTTATATTTACTTCGTGAAAATATTTCATATCAAATTAATTATTACATGATAAATTAGCATGATGTAAAAATGGATACTATTTACACGATTATAGAACTTTGACCTGCAATCGATGTCGTACGATCATCTAATGATTCGTAACAAAAATATTGTCGTACGGTGAGATATCCTTTTGATTGGAAAGTTCAAATGTACTTATATATTTTTATTTAACTTATCATCATTATGGTCAGCCAAAGAAGTTAGTCATACGATACTCGGGCAAGGTACTGTACATCCGCTTTGATCATGCTATTTTACAAAGAAAAAAAGACAACGAAAAGGAAAAAGAAAAAGAGATAAACAGAAGAAGAAGAAATGAGAAACTTCTTAAAAAATATTTCTAATTTTTATATGTATGTATATAAAATGTTAATTGGTCAAAAAAAAAAAAAAAGAAATATTTGCTGTGATTGAATAAAAAAATAATTCTTTTGTTTTTTTTTTTTCGTAAAATCGAGAAATATTCATATAAATAAAAATAAATGTAAAAAATAAAATGATCTGCGGTTCGCGTTTACGATCATGTTTCTTCTTCCGTCTTGCAGTGAATTATTTCACAACAACACGTGCGTGAAATTGTTATCGAAATTATTAATGCGAGATTGTCGACTATAGTAATCGCGTGTTCGTCGATTTAAATAAATCCAAGTCTAACATAAGTCGATAGTTTCGATATATAATTCAGTATGTCGAGCGATGTTGAGTCATACGAAAGTAACGGAGTGTCTTATAATTGTTAATAATAATAATTTTTGATCATGTCCTCGAGACGTTTATTAGATCGTTTATTTGAACGATGTTCTATTGCCATTCATCGTCGTTCGACCAGTTTGAATCGTGCTACTAGTAATAACCTTGAAATTGTCACCTGTCAAGACGATCAGCTGACCATTAACGGGTAACTTTTTATCTCGTACGTTTTTTCTCCGCCAAGAAAGAAATGTTCCGTATATTTTTCTATTTTTGTTTTTTTTTTTTATCGAAATAATTACTTTATTTCACTCTTATATGAGATAAAAATTATCGGAATACTTGTCAAATAAAAATCTGTAAAATCTTTTAATTAAATAGGCCCCTCGTATTTTTCTCGTATCTTTTCGATTACATTTGTTTGATCATCAATTCCTAGATTGCGTTTAATAATAATAATAATTCATATATTTTATTTACACAATTCGACTATAATATTTTTTTTGTTATAGTTATAATAATAATAAAAAGTAGTATTTTCTTCTTGAACGCATTTTCTTGAAATAGGACATAGTTAGGAAGTTAATATTACATACCAAGCATTTTAATAATTGTCGTGCAAAGTGCACCGGCTGGTGCACTTATTGCTTTATCGCCTGTTATCATCGGGCTCTTAGTAATAATGTTAGTAAATAATAAAACGGATAATAACTCGAGAAATATCGAGCAACGGGGTTTCGTTAATGTTCTAATAAAATACAACATTTATTATTATATATAAGTGCAATTTTCTCTTTTTATAATACAAGAAATTTATCTAAAGAATTGTTTTATCATTTATATTTTTATTATATTACTTTAATCGCACAATTTCGAGGTTGTATTTTAAATATAAAAAAAAAAAAGATGAAAAAAGAAACGAGAGATTATATGATTGTAACATTTACAGATACAGACACACAATAACATTTATTATTTATATAATATGTAAAATATATTCTAGAAATCTCGTTATGGCTACGTGATTCACTCATAAATTAATTTGCAATGTCTAAAAGTGAAAGTCTTATTAAAAACTGTGGAAAGTTTTTTTTAAAGAGAGATATCTTACAATTATAAAGTAAATAAATTTGGCTAACATATTACACCCGTTATGCGTGCTCAATGGGCGACAACGCACGACTGCGCATTGCGCGATCGTATGCTAGAGGATCATCTGATTACTTCTCAGGCCCGTAGATATCAATTTGAACACCCGACGAAAGAGAAAATTTTCACAATTTTGTATATTATAACAAATTGTTTTTTTTCTTTTCGTACGCGTTACATATGTAACTCGCATTTATAACAAACGACAATAATAAAATATAATAATCAAATTTAGATCAATAAAATACTTACATTGTATCATTCCTTTTATTATTTAAATTATTATTAAATATTTTACTATAAAAATAAATAAATAAATAGATACAGTATAAGAAATTGATTTTCATAGATTAAAACAAATTATGAAATAAGACGTAAGTTACCTTAATGAAATTTAGATTATGCAACAAATTTTGATAACTACATATAGTAATGTCTTACGTTATAATTAGTTATATATGTGTATATATATAAATATCTAAATAAATTTTAACTGTACATATATATAACCAAAAATAAATCGTAGTAAGTATTAGAAAGTATTAGAAATTGATAGTATAGATAATTGGAATCGACGTGTACGGCCTTGAGAACCTATCCTTCTTACCCCCACATATTCTAACCTCACCTTGTCATGGCAGTACTGCGTTCTACCCTACCGACGAGCATTTACAGTCTGTATTCAGTCTCGCACTTGGTTCCCAGGATTCAAAGCAGTGCAAGAGTTACTACGAGAAACAAACAATCTTTGACAATGTCGAACCTCGAACGTGATCGTCTGGGTCAACCTGGAACTGGTGATGCTACGTGTCATGGCCTTCTTCGTGGTATTGACCATATCAAGAATCCTCAATTGAATAAGGTAGGGTCGTTACTGTTTATGACTATTACTTCAAATATCGATCATTTCACGTTATATAATTGACGTATTTTATTTCTGCTCTTTATTACACGAATTCGACAGAAATGTAACCATTAAACAAAAAAATCATTCACCTATTCAACAGAATTTTTATTCTTATTGTCATCGACATAATAATTGTTGCTTTAACTAATTGCCAATGCAATTTCCGAGTAGATGCGCGTGATCGAAAGCATACGCTTGCGTATTAAGGGTGTTTTAAAGTTTACCATTAAATTTGTGACTTGTTGCTTAAGGAATCCTTTTAATAATGTGAAATTTTAATATATATAGTATATGCGTGTCAAGAGAATTAATATCATAACTCGATAATAAAATAAACTTTATAATGAATTTTTGATTGGAATCCTTTGAATGATCTTCACATAATAACATTTGTTTTCTAAAAACAAAGAAAATGATATCGATTATAACAAACGCTTGATAAAATAAGAAATTGTCGAGTTGACAAGTTGCGTTTCGTTCGGGGATAAGATTATTTCATAAGCCTACTCGAAGTGTGAAAAAGGTTCAAATATTATTTATAAAATATGCCAAAAATATAAAAATTCGACAATAATTTAATAATTACCTATTGAATATTTTATATTAATTATGTTTCGTTTTTATTTTTATAAATTAACGTAAAGAGAAATCATTTGATATTTTAGGTGAACGATAATTGTTATAGTTAATTAATCAAATTATTTGTAATGTCGTGTACAATTATGGAAATGATAAAAAAGAAGTAAAAGAAGTAATAAAGATTTCTTTTATATAGAAAAAGTATATGACCGGTATCTGACGCAACATGGAAACGAAATTGTAAACTATATGTTGAAAGAACGTATTATAAATTCGTCGAATTCATTCGACAAACGCGATCAAAGTCACGTAGACATTTTCAAAACTTCTTTCTTTTTTTGGTCTATCTTCCACATTATATTCTTATTGATTATCCGTTTCTTTTCTTATAACAAATAACATTTTTATTTAATGAATCAAATACTCATTACATTAATCTTGTGAATCACACAGCTGTTAGAGATACTTTCCATAAAAGTTAGATCACTTTTATCTGATACGCTATTGTTTGCACACATTATAGCATTATTAAACTATGTGTAATAATAATTCAATCTATGTTGGATTAGTTAGAATATTCTATCGATCAAATTAACATTAAAATGATTCTAACGAAAAGAAATTTTAATTTTTATGGTAATTAAATATTAATTATTTATAAAATTGTACGAAATGAGTTATAATCAATTAATTTTGTTTCGAAACATTTTTAGTTATTAGAAATGGAATAAATAATTTTTCAAAATCTATTACGATCCTTTGGTTCATCTCGTATTTGTTAACACTTTTTCACACTTATTGCAATATCTTTTTATTTTAATATTCATACGATTCCATTATTCAATATTATGTTGACTTTGTCTCTCGTGAACTTTGTTTTCACGTATATTTTCAAACTATGCTCGATTGTATTGTCATGAATTGTATTTGCATGCAGAACCTAGTTCTAAAGTCTTTCCAATTGTTTCTTTATATAATCTATTTAAAGAAAAATAACACACGTGCAGATAAATAAAAATTTGCAAAACACGATTTACATATAATGTCATTTGATATTTGACGTATTTCTCAAGAATTACAAACGAATTAAAAATATTCAAATGAACTATAGTCGTATTCAAGAAAATTATTTAATATAAATTACAAATTCCAATTGCAAGATAGTAACAATATCTTCGCGACAATAAACATTCACATTTTTCTGATTCATTCATAATTTTATATAAAAAATAACATGTTAAAAATATTTAAAAAAACGTAATATCCGTAATCACTGATTTTAATCAGAGTAAATTCAAATATTACCCGAATACTCGAAATAATCCAATAATACCGATTATCAAGCTATCCCTATTAATGTTATCTCCGAACACACACACACACACACCGATGCTTTTATCCGATCCTTGACTTAATACTAATCCACTTTTTAATTTATTTAATCTTTTTAATATATATTATAACTATTCTCTCTCTACCAACGTTAAAATTAGTTAATAATTTTCAAAATGGTTACCACGAGAATTCATAAACGATAGGAGGATGATGATGATTGCAATAAGGTCGCGTGTTATACTTTGCATAAAAGAAATCGTAGGGTTGGTTCCCTTTATCGATCGGTTGAACAACCGACTTCTCCGAAGGAAGGGGTCGCTAACACGAGAGAGAGAAAGAGAGTCAAGAAACCCGGCAACCGTTTCCACGTTCGCTTGTTTTTGACATGGGATTTGAAATATTCGAAAAGAACAAGAAGAAGAATAAAATTAAAGAAAATTCATTTGTGTCATAGTTTAGTGAACAAAGTTTCGTTTCTTTTTTTTTTCCCTTTACATGGAGACCGATTGGTGGAGTCTTATACCTGACAAGACTCGTACACCTAACGTACCGGAAGCTCTTCTTGCATTGGACGGCAGGGTATAATTTTAAAATATTTTCTTTTTATTTTCACCTTTTTTCTTTTTCTTTCTTTGCTTTTTGCAAAATTCACCATAATTATCTGCGATTTGACATGTACTCATTTCTTTCTTTTTTTCTTTTTGCTTGGACTGAAATTGGACGCACGTTTAGTAATATATCAAATGGATCCTTCACATCAGCTTTTTATTTATCTTCTTAGTTTGTAGAAATATTTTTCTAACTTTTTTCTTTTTCTTTTTTTTTTAAATTTTATTAAAATAATATAGACATTTTTTTCGTTGGTTCGTATGTTCAGTTGAAAACAATTTTCTTACTTCCCTTTTTTTTTTTTTGAAAATATTTCAACGATCGAAATGAAAAACGCTGACGCGTGGCTAATCCTGTAATTGCGATCTAAATTTATCGATTTATATATTTTACTTCTTCTTCTTTTTATTATTATTCTTCTTCTTTCTTTTTTCAATATGAATATATACAATCGATTTTTAATCGGTCTCGTTCTCGATAATCGTTAACGTTACTGAACGTATTTTGCATTAATTAATCTGAACTGAAACAAATTAAATTCAAAAATTATTATAATAATTCAAGATTATTCGAATGCGATTTTTTTTATCAAACAACAATAATTTCTATACACGTGATATTAATCTTTAGAATGTATGTGTAAGCAAAGGTCGGTGTCTTCTTATGGCTATTACGATTTATAGTACTCGATTAGGATTGTGTCGCTGAGTCTTCAAGTAGACGAGTATTAAACGGACTCGTTGTCAACGACCGCTTCCGACGTCTATGGAAAAATACAAGTGACTTACATTAGTATATATACATATATATATATATATATATATGTACGTGCTTTAACCCTCTCCCTCAACCCCACTCCCTCCCTTCCCTTCCCCTTGTTGTCTCTATCTTCCCCTTTATATTTTCTCTCGAAATAAAATTGTATATTGACAATCAAGAACCTTGATTGTTCTATACTTGGAGTATTCCATGTGATTCGCATTTAAAAAAAAAAAAAAACAAATAAAAAATTTATTAAGAAATTGTGGATACACTTCTGAAACGGGTTCACATTAACAATCAATTCAAATGCAAATAATTTATTAACAGTGTATTCGCGATTAAAATGAAATTTATGCCATTGATAATCAATAACCGACGTCCGTTTGTTCTATTTAACTTTCTATTTTGAAATGTATCGTTGTATGTGTGTGCATTTAAAAAAATAAGAATAAAAAATAAAAACAAACAGCAGGAAGATAATTTGCAATTTTAAAATCTTAATTGTCTAGACATGTTAATTATTATTGCACTTTATAATTATACGGGTTGTCGTAATCGTTGCATTATAAATGCGAGTTTAAAAATTACTAAAGTTTTCTCGAATTAAAACGTGACGTGCAGTATCTGATGTTTTTTTTTCGTACGATGACTCGTGTTAAATTATTTTCTAATGCACGATTTCTATTAATATATATATATATACGTATTTTTTCATGTCAATTTAATTTCGAATTCCCATTAAAACACTACGATTATTTTCAAATAATTATTATC